ATTCTCTAACAACATACACACTCAAACTCACCAACGCAACCACCACACAACCAACCATACCCAACTACACATCATCATCTCAGGATCTACAGCTCCTATCACAACAAACTTAACAAATAGACACGTCCATATATATGTGTCGTGGTTTAAATTCCGACTTCTCAGCCCAGAAACTCCGACCCAGAACGAGTCGACAACGCACGCACGTCAACACTGGCCCAGAGTTTACACTATAAATGTTCAAAACACTAAACATGTCCTCCTGGTACTATGTCATAAATTGTGTGTAGTGCTTGTTGTGTTGCCACTACACACAACCCACCACCAACTCAACCATCAGCGCCTACCTCGGCCGTCCTAAATCCGTTCTGTCTCCGTGTCACACTCGACTTAATCTCTACCACATGCACCCAAAGCATCAAACCTCCTCCACCTATGGCAGACACGAGTTAACCACACAACACACGCCCGCATCTCGAAAGACGCGACCAACTACCGACTCCACAATCAACACTAACATCGCACATACCACCTTGAGGTTCTCTACTCAGACCCACGATCCATCCATATCCACAGACAAAAACACACATCAACCACCCCTAGACACCACAACTCCCACAACACTGTACCAAACACACATCACACCCAACACACACAAAAACTACTACAACACCATACCTCACCACCCTATCTAACGTAGTCTCAAGACCCATACCGCAACCCAACAACTACCACCTGAACAAAGACCACAGCTCGAACAACACACACGAAAACCACACACAACCCACCACCCATAATCGCTCCCAGCCCAACATCATCAAGCTTTACACAATCACTATGATTGGCCCATCCAACTTATACCACCCCTCATAACACTGATAACTCATCAAAGCCGCCACATTACGCCGCAGCTCATCACCATCATCATACAGCGACACCCCCGTTCAAACCTACCATACACTACATCACCCACATGATCCACTATACATTACATCACAGCACACCACACATGTGTAGTACATCGTTATGTGCTGATGTGTGTGAATGTGTGGACGGTCACGACCACTCCTCGTACTCATCAACCACTAAAGCACAACTGACTCTGCTGTGCGACACCAGACGCTAACACCACCCAAATCGTAGCGTCGTGACATCGTGTATTCTTTATATGAGCGTTTTGATTTCCGGTTTGTTCGACCGAAACCGTCTACTTTCGCCTCCACACTACAGCCCACACCACACACACCACACCACCCTCTAGCCATTCAGCAAACCACAGACCAGTATCCAGCCTACACCGCCACTGACAAACCAACACCTATTTTCATCAGGAGCAGAATCTGGGGAAGGGCACTGTTGACCATGAGTGATTCCCGTGTGTATCCGGAGAGAGTGGGAAAGAGTAGATTGGATGAGGATGTGATGAATGTGCGTATAGTTGCTGGTTGAAGGGGAATGGGTAGTGTTAGAGGGATAGTAGGTCAGGAAGTGTTTTGTGGGGAAGTATTAGGGGTAGAAGATGCGATTCGGAAGGATGCGATAGTGGAGTGAAGCCGGAATGTGTTGTCTTTGGAGGATAGGAGGAAAGGGTGTAGCGGTGCTATGAGTAAGCAGGGGCATACGAGTGGACTTATCATCAGGAGGATGCGTATCGAGGATGATATCGGCGTGGACGGAATTGAGGTTAGGTTGTGTCAGCACGGTGAGTAGGAGGAATGGGGTAGGGAATATTTAGTAGGACGGAGTACCGTGGATGTGTTGCGGCGGTAGTGAGAGTGAAGCTGTGGGAGATTTGGGTTATGTTTGTTAGATTTAGAGTTGACAAAAGAATTGTCTGAGGAGAGGTGAAGGTAGAAGTGGTTGCTGTAGTTGAGATTGGAGCTGTGTTTTGAGAGTGTGGTGTCTGGCGATTTTTAGAAGTGGCAAAAGAATTGGTCTGAGGAGCGTTGAATGTAGAAGTGGAAATAAGGACATCTTGGGGTGGGGACGGGTTGAGCGACGATGTTACTAGAAGCTTGGAATATGCGGATAGAACCTTGTAAACGTGTTTCCTGTCGCGCTTCACGTAATTGTGAGACAATTTGTATTTGAGAGTTCTACCTCAAGATCAAACTTGTAAGGGACAAGCCGCTATAAAATATCATTATGGTCCACTGCAATTAGCAGCATGTACATGTTTGTGCTGAGCCAGCTTAATGGTTATGAACAGGTGGGGCCACATACTGCGGGCATCGAGTCTGTGAACGGCAGTGTTTGCAGATGTCAAAGCTCAATAGTTTTGACATTGACGGGAGGGTTTGGTATGGTCGAATTAGGGATGATGGTCCACCAATGTAATACGGTAAGGATAAGTCATGTGAATGAAAATAATTTTGAATGTTGTCGGATTTCTTTGCGTTGACCTCTAGAGGATGGTGCTAGCAATTACTAATTACATCGTGGTCTTGAGCTCCTTATAAAGTCTTCTCCACATCTGACCAATCATTGGTATCGACTGCGTCAGTTTGCTGGGAGAGAGCGACAGTCTGGTACCCAGTATTTAGGGTTGGATGAAGCTCTGCAGGAATGGGTGCCAGAATGATCAGTTAAATTGATAAGTGCTATAGATTTCAGCGTTTCTTGTATCTTAGCTGTTACATGATAAAAATCGGATCCCATTAAGTGGCCAAACAGAGTATTTAAGATATCTGTAGGGTTGTGTGGTGGAATGGTCGGATGTGTGTAGAGGGAGTATTACGGAGGATGGAGAATATGGCTGTAGGTATAATAGGAGGATGCGTGCTTGATGAAGGTTGTGGGGTGTTATTAGTTTCTATCTCTGTCCCCCAGGTGTCGGTGCTTACACGTGATTTGAGATCTAATGAGCGTGAGACCACACCGCAACACACTCACCTCCCACACCGCTCACCACAATACTCCTCAAAAAACAAAACCACCAACACACATCCTATAACAACTACACCCCCACACACACCACACGACACTCACACTACCGCCAATCTTAAAATTGACTTTATACACACTCGACCTTACACATATTATCTCAACAATAACAGTCACCACTCCAACGTACTAAATTCATAATCTATCACTATCCACCAATGTTAATATATCCCTGATAATGCGTTGATGAAAATTGAGAAGTTCTGAGAGGGTATGAATGTCTTCTGGAGATGTTTATCTCTGCTTAGGGTGGCGTAATGCACTAGTAAGCATTGAGAGTGTGGTACGTATCACATAGATAAATAATAATAATATCATGAACATAATATAATATAATATATTATCAAATTCTAGACTAACTCATGTAAGCCCTATAAGTACCCCGCGTGGTTATATAGCGAGATTGAACTACTAGATAAATATGATAATGTCGGTCGTAATTAAAAATTCATAATCGCAACCTGTCCTGGCACACTGTCGTATTATAACAGACTCAAGTGTGCTAGTTTCAGTGTTCCGGAGTCGTGTCAAAGGCAGAGCCTTGGGTGGGCTATTTGATAAAAGGCGGCAAGTGCCTCATTGCTCTTAATGATAGGTGGATTCATTGTTGTTATATCACTATTACTAGTAGATATTCAGATTAATTACTGGTCATGGGGAACCATGGTAGATTATATAAAAGGCATAACACCCACCTTCATGCACTTGAAGGTATGGGCTAGACAATTAAATCGAGAGTACTGTGCCCATAGTTCCCGCAGGCCGTTCAGGACTGGCACAAGGTCAGCCTTTCATCCCTTCCTTAGGAAGTAGATAGTAGAAAGGGTTGGAGAAGAGACAGAAACAAAAAGCTGGAGGGGGAAAAGACTATGCAAAATTACTTGAGTCGAGGGCTGAGGCCCTAGACAGGGGAGATCCCTGCATTGGGTCTCAGTCTCCTTCTCCTAATCCCCCCCCATGACAACAACGGGCAAGGGATTAAGGGGATTGTGCATAGAATAGGATAGAATCCACTTGTGCATCTTTGCCTTCTCCTTCTCCTTTTTCCTATTCTTCTTCATCTTCTTTATCTTCTTCCTGTTACTCCTCTTCAATTTCTTACTTTTCTTCCCCCTTCTCTTCCCTACCTCTTCCTCCTCCTGTTCTCTCCTTTCTCCTCCTCTTTTTGTGTCTTAAAAGGATATAATCCAACTGAGCATCTTCACAGTGTTTTTAGTTCTACTTTCTATACTCTGTGCCTCAGATCTCCTCCTCACTGATATTGCTGCTGATCATCTTCCCCCTCCTCTTTCTCTTTCTCCTTCTCCTTCTTCTTTGTCTCCTCCTCCTCCTCCTCCACCTTTTTATTTTGCCCTTCTCTTTTCATCCTTCCCCCTCTCTCACCTCTCTTCCTCCTTGAGCGAGGGCCAATACGACAGACAGGTGGGTCACAAACAGCCAAAGACATGTAAAGGCATCAACAATTCCAAAAAAGGGATAGGACACCGGAGGAGGAAACATGTCTTTAGTTCACCCTTCCAAGTATTAAGTTCCGTTTTCTATGAGCATAGCTAGCGAGGACAAATAAGAGAAAATTAAGTATATTCAAGGGGTAAAGCTTAAATAACTAATCATGAACAACATAAAACCCTGAATATTTTGGAGGTATTCCAATCTCTGTTGGATAATATTCATTATCATCATTACTATTATTTAAATACTGTGATTTTCATCACGATAAGTATGATTATAATTATAATTATTTTTAATATATAATCTATAATTCATACCCTAGCATTACATTCTCTCTCTATCATCACACACAAAAAGAAAGTGGAGAAAAAGAAGAGAGTGAAGAAGGAATAGGAAAAGAGAATAGTGGGAAAAGGAGAAAAGGAGAAAAGAGAAAAGGAAAAAGAAGAATAGGAAAAGAAGAAATAGGAGAAAAGGATCAAAGAAGGAAAAAGGAAGAAAAAAAGGAGAAAAAGAAGAAGGAAAAGACAAAAGTGAGTAGACAGGAATGAAAAACAATTTATATGAGCCAAATCGTCTTGGGTGGGGTAAAGTATAGCAATCAATTACATAAACATTATTGTCCTTTTATTGATTAACCAGTATACACCCATGTACTTTAACACGATCCTATATGATTAATCTGATATACATATACATCCACTTACAAATACAAGGTGTACCAACAGTTACAAACATGTGTGCATATAAAGCTCCCCAAAATGGGTATATATATATAGGATTAACAATTACAAATAGTAAAAGCAACAAAAAAGATACCTGAATCCTTTCTGCTAACAGTAATTACTCAATGAACACCTTTTTGAATCTATCATAATTCACAGATCATTTTAATAGTGCTGTCCTTCAGAGTAATATTTTAATATACCTTGCTGGACAGAGTAAAGTAAAGCTATATAATCTTTTTATATCATTGTTAATAAAATCACAATGATGGAATACACTTCTTTCTCTTTTTTAATCACAGTTTTGAATCGTCTTAATATAATTCTAATTTATTAGATTACATCCAGAAGGATATTTATCAAAAAATATAGATGTAAAAAAAAAGTCAAATCAATGCAAGATCATCTGGCAGATCAACAATTATTCAATTTAATATCAAAAAGATATCTCAGCATCAGTTTATCTCTTGAAATAAAAAAAATCTATGGGAAATGTCAACCATCACAAAGTCAGTGCATCAGCTGTAATATGTTAATGCTATCATCATCTTGTAAGTAATTTCCCTTTTGATTTTCATTTCCAAAAGGTCTGTTTATCAATATGCAATTATTATCAAAAGGCATTTTGATTTTTTAAAAATAATTTGTCAAAAATAAAATTCAAATCTTACTCAATGATAAATAGCACCATTACCATATTTGGAATATGATTTTGAAATCCGTTATCATTAAGCCTTCACCCAAAGAAATGAATGACCACCACCACTGGGACAATTTCTGTAAAAAGCACAAAATGGCTTCATCCTTCACTCTTGAAACGATGCCATCATTGGGTCGTCAATGAGTTTGCTGTGCACTGACCACAAGTCCTAGAAATGAGAGAGACTGGTCAGTTATCATGACAATGTTGTTTTTTCACTTATTCATTCAATCATCCAGTCACTTGAACATGCACACGCATATGCACAAATATACACACACAAATGCATACACCTGCACATATATAGGGTGTACATAAAAGAAAAATGTGTTCACTCTTATGAACATTTGCAAATGAAATGAGTCTCAATACTGAAATTGACATGCATTTAGTGTGCACCTAATGCAACAAATGGCACAGTCATTGGAAAAAATATAAAATTAATAACCATAATGTCTCCAATATATGGTGGTCTTAAAAACTAGTGTTATGCAGAGGGGGATGCAAATGCAGTATTGGGAAGGAGGAGTTGTAATATAATATTATAATATTGTAATATATAATATATATATTAATTATTATATATATATATTAAATATATTAATTATAATATAAATATAATTATATATATATATATAATATATATATATATATTTATTATATATATTATTTTTATATTATATATAAAATTAATATATATATATTATATATTAATATTATATATATATTATATATTCATAAATATATATATATTATATTATAATAAATATCTAGAATATCTATATTACTATATATATCATCTTATATTTATAATAATTAATAAATCATCTATTTATTATATTTAAATATTAATAATTTTTTATATAATTTTGATTAAAGAGTTTATATATGTATATATATAGAATATTATTTTATGATCTATATATAAATATATATATATTATACATATATAATAATATATACTCTATGCGTATTATATAACTAGTTATAAGTATATTATGACTATAATAGTTTTTATTTAATATACTAATATATATTGATTGAGATATAGTTATCATACATATATATACCATACTATAACTATAGAAATATATATAGAGCTACTAATATATAGATATATATATATATAAAATATATACTATATAAATAATATAATAATATAATTATATGATTTAGCTTATATTATAGCTTACATTATATATAGTATATATCTGTGAGTATATATAGTATATATATTACTATATACATATTATTAATTACTAATATATAGTATATATACTATATATACTATATATTATAATATACACAACTATACTAATATATACACCACTAATATATATGATATATACAATACTAATATCGCACATACGTGATGAGTAGTCATTACTATACAGTATACTACTTACACGTATAAACTATACCGCACATACCTAATTATAAATACATAGTAGAGTACCTATCGCGTATATATATAATATAATATGATAGTATATATATACATAACGATATAACATAGATAGTTCGTATACACTATACAACATACATATATAATACTAATAATACACTATACTGTGTCATATATATACTATACTTATTTATACTATAATCATAATATATATATATATATATATATATATATATACTATCAATATGTATAGATAATATGTATTGTATTTATAGTTATATTTTATAATACTACTATATATAATATATATATCGTATATATATAAACTACTTACTATATATTATGTTTGACATATATAATACAATATATATATATATACACTACTATCAAAGTATATTAACATCTAACTATACTACAACATACACCAATATAACATACAAACACACACATATATACATATGAACACATGTTTTCCATCAAACATGTACAAATATTCAAACTCAAACATGCACTCACATTCCTTTGGGAGGTTGGGAACCCTAATAGTGGGAAATTAACAAGTTTGGTGAAGCTTTCTGTAATATTATTAGAAATATGCCCAAAAGCAACAGTAAAGGCTAGCTGCAAAAAGCATTTTTTCCCCCAGTTAGAGGATAAGTTGGGCACAGATCTTCTTGGTACAAATAATTCTTAGTTTTTAATGTTAGTACCCATACTGGTCGCTAATAGCATCAGACCTCAAGGGACGAGAAAATTATATCTAAATGAATAACATCTTTATTATAAACAATTAGAAAATAATAATCTAAATAACCTATTTTTACCAAACAATACTTTTAGATGAACTTTAGAACTTTATATTTCCAGCAAAGCTCCACTTTGACCAAAACTTCGAACATAATCAGAAACAACAAAACTTCTAAAACATGTATTTGCATCACAACAAAAACTGAGATCATGCAAAACACTAACCTCAAACAAATAACATTTTAGAATTACTTTTTTCTAACTGGTATAATAAGGAAAATGGAAGATAGAAAGGAACAAAGTAAGAATAAATCAGAATAAAAAGAAAGTGAAAGAGAATAAAAATGAACAAGTCATATTTCCTCAATTAACTGTGTTATAGTCATGAACTTTGAAAATACCTCAAGATATTTTAAACATTATGTCATATATCTAAAAAGTAATGCTACTGGCAGCTACTGATCTTTGAAAGCACTCTGCACCTATCAAGCTATATGTACATCTTGTGCTTATGAACTGCTCAACAAAGCTTCCAATGCCATTTATGTAGATAAGGTACAAATGTAAATGTATAATCCTACAATGCATGATATACAGTTGATGCACTAATAATAATCCCTCAACAGAATTTATATGATTCTGAAGAAGATTTACTATTGACAAATGTTAACTGTACACCTTGCCTTGCGGAATCACTCATTCTCCTCGTATCTTTTCTATGTCTGTCACAATGAACTTTTAAGATGCTATATTTTTTTAGCTATTAATACATGCCCTCTATAATTTTGGTTAGGCCACTACTGCATTTAGCAAAACACTAAAACCCCAAAGTCGTCCAAGGAAATGAGAGGGGATACCATCACTGAAGAAATAATCTGGTCCTTTATAACAGATTTCCACTTTACATATATGCTCCCTATTTTATTGATTTCTAATTCAGCCTAAATTACCATGATGTCTCTATCAATAACATTAAGCACACCTAGGATGGTCATGGGATCTACATATTACATGAAATTCTGCAAAAAAAAAAAAAATAAATAAATAATGCACACATCATTATATCATAAAGGAACTCATATCTCAGAGGTAAGACAAAGTATTTTCATCACCATATTTTTATGTTACTTGGGTAATTGTTAACTATGTTAAATCATAACTGGGTGCAAATCATCTGCGTATTAGTCACAATAATCCACAGTTTGCAATTGTGCATGTTATTATTCTTTTCGACTAAAATGAGGAATAAAAAAAGTGTACTTTGAACTTATCCAAAACATGTAATAATACATAAATAAATGCATAGTGTTTGCATGTATGATATATATATATATATATATATATATATATATATATATATATATATATATATATATATAATATATATATATATATCACTGTCCTTCAAAAGGATATATTACAGAAAGTGTCCTTAAATTGTGGGTACCCTACCCTTGGTGTATATAGAACCAAATGCTGAGGGCTTAGTCCTTAATCTCTGGCCATTTGTATTCATTTAATATATTAATTCATACTTTTCTACTGTCAATTATTTTCAATTTATACTTTAGTGGAATGTTACATTATTAACTAGCACTGCTACTGCATATTTTAAAAAGTATGAAGAGCTATTGATATCAATTGAAGTCGTAACTAGCAACTAACAGGACTGATAGGGATAATCCCATGGTCAAGTGAAAGGGATATAGGGCCATAATGGGCAATCCACTAGGGGTCTAGAATCATCAAAAAGGTTAAGAACCCCTGTATTAAAATATAACACTGGTATACCTTGATGTCCATTACTTGTAGCCTACTGAGCAAGTTTCTGACCAGGTTTTATTTTTGAGTTGTGTTAAAGAATACAGGAAAAACAAAGGCATTACCAATAATTTGTGAAACTGTTTGTATACTACAGCAAAGAGGGTTTCATTGAATCTCTCTCTGTAAACAAACACTGATTGGGTGCTTTCCTTCTTTTTGTTTTGCTTTTTTTCACAAATTACTAATGGTGTAAGCATCTACATGTTCTGCATACAGCCATGCAACCGTCACCTTATCAAAGTTCCTCCTCCATCAGGCATGAATGAGTATCATGAAGATTCTGTAAAAATGATTAGATTATTTGCTGAAAAAAGACACCAGCAAAGAGGAAGGACTGTGTAGTTCTCATCACGTCGCCACTCTTTAGACAGTATGATATAACAGGCAAGTAAGGCCAAACTGTTAATTAGCTTGGAAAGTGCAGATGCAAAATTGGTAATTCAAAGTCCTCATATGCATGGATTTGAATTACATGGAGAAAAACAGTGATTGAAAGATAGGTAAATCTAAAAAGATATTCAGCTTGAAAGTTCCTAAAAAATTTAATATCAAGAAAACTGTGATGTAACAGCACCTACTGAGACAATGGTTCACATCATTTCTGGATATAGTAATGTGTCCAATTGAAGAAACCAAAAATTTTGCTCCAAAAATATACTCTCCCATTCCCTTTGTGAAAATAGGGACAAACTACATCATTCAAAGGAACACTTCAATGTACTAATATAAATTATAAATCATTTCACCAATGTAGTAATGATGCACAAATAAAAAGCAAATAATTTGGAATGCAAGGCAGAGGTAAGGACAAGGGCATATTTATAAACAACTAGGAAAATGATCAGTAGCCTGGTAATGGAACCTATCACACAAAGGTCTGCCATAAAAATGCTAGATTGGTTGACCGAACATGTACTCTAATGTGCCGAGTAACTTTTCTTGTCCCTACTAAAAACTCCTTGGAAAATGTATGGTTACTGATGTGGAGTGCTCTGGTAGTAAAGATTTATTAAAAGTAAGAAACTTTTAAATGCTAAAATGTTATATTACAGTTTTACTGGGATTCAGAAATATCTATTGAGTTAATAAGGAATTATGTGTACACATACATACATACATACATACACAACAATATATATATATATATATATATATATATATATATATATATATATATAATATATATATATATATGTATTTAGTTTAGCAACTAGTTTCCACTCAAGAGTTTGTTCATCATTTCAGGCAGTTTTCTTGTTTCTCCTTTGAGTATTCAGCCAATCATGCATTTAACAGCATCTCAATGTTTGATAAACCAGAGATACTACCCAATGCTACACAATACCTACTGCCTATTTACATGCCATGAACATGCATAACAACTACTATACTCTCATGGCCATATTATTAAAAACTTAAATGCAGGGCCCCTTTGTTATCCCCATGGAAGGGTGAAAATTTCCCAATATTTACTAACCATGTTATCAACTACTCCAATACTATAAAAGACAAAACCTTAAAAAATTAATACAAATACAGATACCATTTGTATATAAATAAATCTATATCTATATATCACACACACACACACACACAACACACACACACACAACACACACACACACACACACACACACACACACACACACACACACACACACCACACACACACACACACTACACACACACACACACACACACACACACACACACACACACACACACACACACCACACACACACACACACACACACACACAGGGTAGGTTTGCTACCTATCACATTTTTAAATTCTCTACACACACAGACACACACACAGACACACAGACACACAGAGACACACACACACACACACACACACACACACACACACTCACACACACACAACACACACACACACACACACACACACACACACACACACACACACACACACACACACACACACACACACACACACACACACACACAACACGCGCACACACACACACACACACACACACACGCACGCACGCACACCCACACACACACACAGAGAGAGAGAGGGTAGGTTTGCCACCTATCACATTTCTAAATTCAATGTCGGTATCCCTGATCCCCTGGGGGAGTGCAAAAAATATGTAATGTAATTTGGGACTGGGTACAGGTGCTACAATAGGCCCCACTTCTGTTTTTAATAATACAGGTATGAAAGCAGAGACAGTGAAGATTAATCAATTAATTTGCTATTGTTTGTTGGTGATACCTTATTTTGGTGCCCATTAAACAAGCCCTTTTCCTTAATGTAGTACTCCTTTTACAGCAATCAAGACTTCTTAAGAGTTTAGTCATATCCAGAATGATATTGAACTCATAATCAAAATTTAAGATATATTACTGGCTAGCAACTGTGGCTATAATTTACAGCATTTAGTCATTACTAATTTAAGCTCATCTTGTGTATGTTTACATGCAGATTGCAGTATCAATTTTCTGTTTATTTCCTGTAAATAGGGAACTAATGATAATAAATTCTGAAATCCTACAATCTTAAACTTTTTTATTAAACAGCCTGACAAAGAATACAGCAGTTATATCTCATAAACCTACACTGAAAAAATGCTACACTTCCTTGCCCAACACCAATGCTTTAAACAAATCAAAATCCTTTCATAAGAATGACTTCAGAGCAGACAAATGGAACAAATAGGAATTACTCTATGTACAGTACCTGAAAACATGTCATTACTATCACGCTTCCTTCCAAGATTGCTTAATGTTTTTAGGATAAAGTCCAGGGGTCTTACCTTAAAGTACTTGACAGTCTTGACCTTCAGCTCAAGAGTTGCATCCTCATCGCAGAGCATGAGGGTGCGGGGGTGTTGCTGGAATGCTGATACTGTCCACATGTGGTTGACCCCTTCCTCAATAGCCATGTGAAGGGCATAGGCCTTGTGTGATCCTGTGATAAGGATCATTACCTGCAGGAATAGGTATATTAGGGAAATCATGCTAATTCTATTCAGAAAAATTATGCACATGGAAAAGAAAAGAATCCCAACTGTTAATGCTTCCTAGTCCCTACCACTGACTCCTTCCCCCTTCCATGTTCATGCTAGTCTGGGTCAGCTAGCCTGATCAATTTTCTTTCCTCTCATGGATAAGGAGTGTGTAGTGCTCCATACAAATTTCTTCTGATTGTGCTGTGTTGCAGTGTGTTTGGATCTTTGGTACTTTTTATTCATCAATGTCTTTAGAGGATAATGAGTGATCAGTGTATCATTTCTATGAAGATATTCATTAACCTCTTCTCATTCATCAAAGATGAATGAGAAGAGATTTGTTGTAGGATCTTTCTTTCATTGTTACCCTCTCAAGATATCACACATGAACCAGTCTGACACATGGAAAACATGTATTTCTCTGTCTCATGAGGTCTGATGAAGGTATCTCCTTTTATCTTATTTTCTTATGATTTTGCTAGCTGCTTCAGACCAGGAAGAGGGAGATGGGATTGTTGGCAAAAACAAGGGTAAGGTTCTTCTGTTTCCCACGGACAGAATAAGCTGCACTACTTACGCTACATAATTTCTCACTTGGGTTGATTCTGATCAGCTGAAATGCTGTTGTGCTGATAAACCAGACCTTTGTCTACGAGCTCATTAGAAAGAAAATCTTAGTTCTGCATCCATCAAGCACCTGATGATGATAACAATGTTACAAACTATCTGAAAACATCCTATATCATTTACCTCTCTGGCATCCATAACTGTCCCAACACCCACAGTAAGGGACTGCTTTGGCACTTTTGACATGTCATTGTTAAAGAAACGGGCATTGGCAGTGATGGTCTCTTGGTTGAGTGTCTTGACACGGGTTCGTGACACAAGGCTAGAGCCTGGCTCGTTGAAAGCAATATGGCCATCTGGACCTATACCTGAAATAATACAAAAATATTCAAAATATGAACATGTAACACTTAAGCCAGTAACAACAGGTGTCCTACATATGAGACACTGCGGAAAAAAAAAATACAGCGTCACTAGTGTGACGCTGTATTGGGGCCCGCGCTATGATGCAGCAGTGGGCCGCAGCCGGCGCACAGGGAGAGTCTGGGCAAGCCACCTGGAAACTTTTATTTTCGGCTTCAAAATACACCGGCGATAATGGGTTAACAGTATATACTTACATCCTTAAAAAAGAAAATGTTACTACAATGTGTTTTCAAATCATCTTCTGACTGAGGACTGAGTACATACCTCCCATAAACAACTCAATCCCACCAGCCTCCTTAATCTTCTGCTCGTACAACTGGCACTCTTTCTCGAGGTCCTGTGCATTGCCGTCCAGAATGTGTGCATTAGCAGGGTCAATGTCTATGTGCTTGAAGAGATTCTCCCACATGAAGGTGTGATAGCTCTGGGAGTGGTCCCGTGGGATACCTAGAATTGGAGTTGTTATTTCAGCTTCATATGGAAGACAGACAGAAGATGGTCTTTATAAGGAATATTCATATCTACATTGATTTAAAATTGAGCAACTATCTGTACTTGCATAGGGTGTACTTTTTAACCCATTGAACATGTCAGGTTAGGATAGGTCATACATTTGTATCAAGAGACTGTTGGAACTACCCAAGATCTATACAGATGATGATAATGTTATGCTGATATATATGTACTCACAACACATCTTAAACACTTCAAATAAGAATGGTCAAGATTAACACTTTCATTCTTTGGCTACTTAAGAAGTGTAAAGGGGAATATCTATGAAATCCTAGGTCTCAGTCAATAGTCCTGAGACTAGTTCTGTGGCATGTCCAAATGCTGAGAAACCATTTTGTAACTAATTATTAAAATGATCTTAATGCCTACTCCCATTTTCCAGCTGTATACATTTACCATGTATATATGTAAAAACATGATTTTACAGAGTAAATTCCCTCTAGTGGCTATCTATGAAATGACATAGATCAAATAATGGTCCTAGGAATGTCCGACATTAGTTGAGAACACTAATAATTGTGATGAAGCTACCGCCTCTCCATCCCTCCCCAAGTTTTAACATTGGATTTAAGATAAAATTCTGAATATTACACACATACACAACTATAATGTGGAGTGAAAGTAAATTCATATGCTTATATTAGAGGTCAAAGATAACTTTTCCCAAATCTATTCCTCACATCACATTAAATAATTTGTGTGTATTTTTGGCAAAATT